TAAATGTTTTAAAATCGCCTAAATATATCATTCTGAGCTGTTTCATTCCACCAGGAAAATACAGGGTTTTTTCCTCTCTTAAAAAAAATTAAATACCAAAATAACTACATTTAAATAAATAATGTTATGATGATGACATTTAAAAATTCACAATAGGGCCGAAGCCCTCTCTGTCTGCACGGCTGCTCAGCCCGGGCCCCGGGACAGGCGAGTGCTTCCTCCCGGAGGAGCGGGGCTGAGGCCGCAGGGCTCCTACCTCCCCTCTCACCTCGGTTTCCCTTCCTCTCGCTCTTGTTTTTCGTAGAAGAGACGGCAGCCTTGGTACTGGACTCAGTTCTGGAAGGTTGGTGGGGTTTCCTATTACACATCAGAGAGGGACCAGATGTTTCCCACGCTTTCCCGAAGGGCACCAGCCTCCGAGACCCTCATGTTAACGCACAGCTGGACGCCGTGCAGAGCTGGTGACGGCAGCTGCCACGGCCAGCGTGCCTCAGAGAGATCTGTGACAGGTTTGAAAAGGATGTGTGATAAAAGATCGAATCTTGTTTCCGATGAAGGAGGAATAGTTCTGCGGTTTTAAACATACACAATGCGCAGGAGACTTGTTTTACTTAGAGTGGAAAATTATGCCAGGGACACGTCAACACAAAGAAACAAACAACAAAAAGGAGCAAGAAAGAGACGGGTAAGTGCAGCCATTGGGTCACACGTGGCCAGCGGGCGTCTGTCTGCGTCTGTCCGTCCCACACACGGAAATGGAGGTGCATTAAATTCATCAGGCAACTGCTCTAACCGGGAAGATCTGCAGACGTCATCAAGTAGCTCCCTCTGACTTTAACGGGACAGACAAAAGTCAGTCATTCCATAGGCTGGAAACAAATAAAAACAAACGAAACTGTTGTTTCTTCCCCAAGTGAAATCCACACAAAAGGTCCCGTGTGATTCCGAATTTCCAGAGTAGAAGTGGAGTGATCTGAAATGTCAAAGACCCCGTTATTTTGTAAAGAATGAAAGTGCACCTCAAAGTACTCGAATTCCACGTGTGGACAACAAAATACTGTCTGGTCTGCGGGTGGCAGGGCGGCTCCGGCCCAGCCCAGCAGGTCCGCTTGCACCGGGCACGTCCTCATGAGAAGGACCACGAGTCTCAGAGTTGAGAGCTAAGCGCGGGGCGGGGAGACGCCGCCAGGGCCTGGCTTCGATGTGGTTTGTTCAGGTGTGACTTGTCTTTAAATTAAGGAGTTTTAAGGCCACCTGGGTTTTGTGTTTTCAGTGCTGAGGTGAAGTCCAACCGCAGGGCCCTCCGCCCACCGAGAGAAGGCGCTCCGAGCGTCGGTGAGAGGCAGTGTCTCCTTTTGGCACCAGAGTTGACGAGGAGGAGGGCGCCCGGCGCTAGTTCTGGACGCCCTTCTCGCGTGCGGCTGCTGGCGGCGGGTCCACGCTCAGGGCGATGACGATGCTTTCGCCGTCCTCCGTCTTGACCCGCTTCAGCTCTGGCTGCTCCGCCGGGTCGCCGTTCTGGCGCTTGGTGGGCAGGGAGGCCGAGGCTGAGGCGTGGGTCGCCAGCATGTGCAGGGGGCTCGCCGCCGCTGTGGAGAGACGGGGGGGGGCGGGCGGTTAGAGCCCAAGTGCCTGTGAACCACAGACCAGCAAGGGTCCCATCCACAGCCGCCTCCTTCCCGCATCCAACCACGTGGGCGCCAAGCCCGGGGGATGGGAGGAGGCTCGCCCCTCCCTCTGCCTGAGCTTGGCTCGTCTCCATCTCTGACCTGGAGGACCCCACCTGCCTTATGCTCTGCACCCCTAGCTGAGCCCAGCAGACGAACCAAGAAAGCAGCCCCACACTTAGAAGTGCCACTTCCTCCAAGGCACTGGGATGTAGGCCTGGGCTGGAAGGAGCCTGGAGCCGACGGCACCCTGTCCGGCGAGACCCCTGCCCTCCCACCTGCCGTGCGAGCACTGACGGGGCGGGCACCCTGGCGGCGGGCGGCCCACTTGGGGGTCTCACCCACAGGAAGCCTGGCGTGCCCCGAAAAGCCTGGACGCCAACCCCCATCTCCCGAGCATGCGGACTCCCAGAGGGGACGCTCAGGTCTGCTCTGCTGCGTAAGAACTTCCACCAAACCCATGACCCCATGTATTTTAATTTTAGTATACTGCTTTAGTGGGCTGAGAGATTACAGCATTTCCTCCTAAGAAAAGAAGCCTGGAGCTGAACGGAGACACGAAGGAGGGCACGTGACGGGCAGCAGACAGGAAGCCCCAGGGCACAGGCTGTGGTCAGAGAAGGGGAGCCCTGACTGCCAGCACCTCCACTCTCACCTCCAACAGCCCCCTCTGATCATGGTCCCAGCAGGCTTGTGCAGGAATCTAAAACTCACGCAGGTTAATTACACCTCAGTGAAGCTGGAAAAAACCCACGTGGAAACGCAAGGGGCCTACAGTGACCAACACAACTTTTTATAAAGTGCCAAGTCGGAGGCCTGACGCATCCCGACTTCAAGACTTCTTACAAAGCCCCAGTAACCATGATGAGGCATCGGCCCTTGGACAGGCACGCAGATGGACCCAACAGAAAGGAGCACCTGGGCACAGACCACACACCTGCAGGGCAAGTGATTTTTGATGAAAGTACCAAGGCAATTCAGCGGAGAAAGGAAAGTCTTTTCAACAGACAGTGTTGAAACAACTTTGACTTTATACAAAATTAACTCAAAACGGGCCACAGACCTAAACGTAGGAGCTACAACTGTAAAACAATTAAAACAAAACAAAGGAAAAAAATCTTAGTGACCTTGCGCTTGACAATGACCTTTCACTTATATTGGGGTGGGGTGGGGTGGGGTGGGGGGTAGGAACAGAAATTAAAGGAAAAAAAATTGACAAACTGGGTTTTATAAAAGTGTAAACATTCTGTTCTTCAGGAGACTTGAAAACAAAAAGGCAAGCCACAGACCAGGAGAAATACCTGCAAAATACACATCTGACAGAGGACTTGTGTCCAGAGTGCATCAAACTCCTACCACGCAGTTGAAAAGGAAAACAACTCAATTTTTAAAGTGGGCAAAAGATGTGAACAGGCCTTGCACCACAGCATGTATTACGATGTGAAGTAAGCAAAAAACGAGGGTGCCCAACACCAGTAATCACTAGGAAAATACAAGCTCAAGTCAATTAAAAACACCGGGCCAGCTGAAGGAAGACTGGGCACCCCACGCACCGGCGGGAGCGGAGATGCTGCAGCCGCCTCCGGAGGCCATCAGACAAGTCTCTGAAGTTAATCACCCCACCAGCGGGTGACGCGCCGCTCCCCTCAGGCGTTCCCCAAGCCCGTCTGACCACCGTGGGGAACGACCACTGGGATGACAACACACCATCACTGACTGTCCACTCAAAGCGGCCGGCACCGCCCGACAGCCACCTGCTGGCACCGGCCTGCATCCCGGCTGCCCCACCTCCCGACCTCTGAGGGGGATCAGCAGGTCCTACACTCAGGAACCGGTGAGTCCCGTGGGTCTTGACTCCCCGCACCCCGACAGCTGGAGACCAGGAGGGAGCCCCCGGGAGCCGGCTGCTGGGCAGACCGGACTCTGCACAGCGACAAGACCCCACTGTCTGCTGGCGCCTCCCGTCACCTGACCTGGCTGAGCAGTGCCGGGTTCCTGGGGCAGCTCCTCCGAGGCCAGCCATGCCTCAGGTCTGGAAGGGTGCCCTGGTGGGAAGCCCGCTCTGCAGCAGCCAGAGGGCATTATTCCTGGGCAGACAAGGCGCACAGGGGATGTTGAGGAAAACCCAGCCCAAAGCAAACAGGACTGCCGGCATCTCTGGGAGACAAGTAAAGAACAGCCTGGGCAAGACCGCCCCTGCTCCTGCTGCCGCCCCCCGACCCCCGCCGCAGGCCTGGATACGGGGACGCTGGCCTCTTGGTGGTTGGTTCCCAGTGGCCACAGGACCCAGGGACGACTCCCCATGGGAGGGGAGCCAGCGGGGTGGCTAAGGGGATGGAGGGAAGGAGGCGGGTCAGGGAGCCATCAGGCTTGCGCACAGCTGTCCTGGTAACGTGGAAGAAATGGCAGGAAAAGACGCTAGGCTAATTAAGATGCAAACTGGGAACTGGACAGCAGGGCCGCACAGACCAGGCCCAGCCCTCTGGTGCCTCCAGGAGGGTGCAGAGGGCCCACCAGGCAGAGCCACAGAGCAGTGCTGCAGATGGACCGCCCTCTCTGTTGCACTGACTCAGAAGAGCATCCAAGTCATGGCTCCCCTCACGCCCCCAGCCCCCCACCCATCACTGCCGGCTGCACACTCATGAGACAACACCCGCCTGGGTCCTGGCTGGGCCAGCTACGTGCAGAAGCGACCTGTCAGGTCCTGGCCACTGGGTGACCACACAAGGGCAGCCTCGACCCCATCCACGACACCTGCTGGGCCTGGCCCGACAGCTTTGTGCTCACTGAAGCCCCTTCAGTGACACAGGGACAGAGAGAGACCCCACCTGTCGGGCAGCGGGGACCCTGGAGGCTAACAGCTACCCAAACACCGAGGTTGGACACCCTAAGAGCTGTTAGCCTCCAGCCTTGAAGGGAACGGGGCCCCTGACCTAGAGAGGATGCTGAGCACTGGCTCTGTACGCAGCCTCGCCATCTGGGAACAAAGGGACCGGCAGCTGGACCCTGGACAATGCGGGGCCTCTCATTCACCTCCACACTGACTCGCCAGAGTGGCTGCTGTGTCCCTTTCCTGCACAAGGGCCTGTGTGACACGGGGGCAGCATGCCTGCTGCCTGGCTTCATCCAGCTGGGCAGACACATCCCCACCGTGGAGGACACGGCAGAGACGCAGAGCCCTGGCCTAGTTTGGGAGCCGCAAACCTCTGGCTCGAATAAATGCTATTTCAGGAGGACAGAGCTGTCATAGACCCAGAGCAGGATGGAGTTAATGTAAGGTCAAAGCCTGAGAAACGATGTGAACGCAAGATGGGGCGGGCAGCTGTGGGCAGGGCCTGCTGTCTAGAGGAAGGGGTGCAGCGTGGGTCCTGGGCCATGCTCACAGTGACCTGAAAACCCCTAAGAAGGGTGACAGAAAGGAAAGGAGAGGACCAGGGCCGTGAGGAAGTCTGAAGAGTGGGAGGAGAAGTCTCAGCAGGAGACGTGCAGAGGGCGGCTCCAGGCCGCAAGGAGCAGTTGCAAGGCCAGCTAAGCTCCAAGCCCTGGACAACGCCGGGAAGCAGTTTAAGAAAGAACACGACCAACCATCACGGCGCTAGTGAGCCCTGCATGGGGACTGGTGACAGAGGTCGGAACCGGAGCCCGCCCCACAGCGGGACCTGTGCCCTCCCCTCCCCGTGCCTGCGGCGGCCAGACCCAAGCTCAGGGCCCTCTGTGCTGAGCGTGAGCTGGGCACGTGCCTGGGGGGACAGGCTTCCTCCCCCAAGACTGTGGGGCGAAGCCTCATGAGGCCGCCTGGGAAGGCCCCTGCAGAGCGGAAGACACCGGGCTCCCACTCGGGGACGCTCAGCCCTCGGCCTGGCCCCCGGCGCCCGCACCCACCTGTCCATCAGCTCGGTCTGGTGGGGAGGCACCTGTGGGGAGGAGAGGCTAAGCAGTGGCCAGACCACGGGGTCTTCTGTGAGCAGCCCCACACACTGCCAGGAAGACGTCCCACCGCGCGATGGCCTGGGCTCACTCCCAAGTTCAGGCGCTACACTGACGCGGAAGCCGCCAAAGGCACTACAAGAAAACCACAGGCCAGTCCCGACGGAGCCTGACAACCATCTCCAACAGAATGCCAGCAAACCGCGCTCAACACAAGTTAAGCGATCACACGCCAGCACCACGTGGGAAAGGGGGGTTCAACACACAAGCTTAACGGAACAGAGGGATCATCTCAACACGGAAAAGGCACGCGACGGAACTCGGCACTCGGCAAGTCAGGGACGGAAGGGAGCTCTCTCCACGCGGTAACCGAGCGACAACCCACACCCGAAGCCGCTCCCCCTCAAGGTCAGGATCAAGTCAAGGACGCTGGCCTCGGCCGCTGCTGGTCAACGCTGCACTGCAAGTGCCAGCAGGGCAACTGGGCAGCAAGGGGAACAGAAGGCGTCCGAACGGGAATGGACGCGACGCTCCCTCTGCTGGGAAATGACGGGACCTTTACAGGAAGAACATCCTAACAAGGCCACTAAGAAAGCCCCCAGGGTGGAGAGCTCATACAATCAACAAATGAACTCAGCAAAGCTGCAGGGTGTAAGATCAACATACAGTCAACGGCAGCCTTACACAGCAGCGACGAGTAATCTAGAAGGAAACTATGAAAATACCATTTAGAAAACCATTCAAAAGACACAGAGCAGAAAGAAATTTAACCACGGCTTAAACACTGCAAGACTCACATACTGAAAACCATAAAACACTGTTGAAAGAAATCAAAGGCCCAAACAAACAGAAAGACATTCCGCACTCAAGGACCAGAGGACTTAACACCGTCGGGACGGCAGGACCACCCCAAACCACCTGCACAGTCATACCGCCCCTACCAGAACCTCACTTCTGATCTAAAACTTCCCCTGGAGCTGTAAGGTGTCCCGAGTAGCCAGAACACGCCTGAAAAAGAACAACGCACACCTCCCGATTTCAGACCTCCCTGCAAAGCTACAGCAGTCACAGCAGCGTGGCTTTGGCACAAGGACAGACACAAAGATCAATGAACTAGAACTGAGACATAAACCCACACACCGGAGGTCAACTGATTTTAACAAGGGCGCCAAGGCCACTTGGTGGGAGAGCACCGCCTCCCACAGGTGGTGCTGGGGCAGCTGCACTTCCATGAGCAGAAGGAAGAGGCCGGGCCCTCACCTCACACCACGTGCAAATAAATTAACTCCAAATGGATCGAAGACCTAGACATGACTCAACTGTAAAACTCCTAGAAGGCACAGGGTAAGTGTAAGTCTTCACGACCTCGGATTTGGCTTTGGACTCTTAGATATGCACCAGAAGCACCCAGAAACAACGGGAAAATAAGTTGGACTTCATCAGAATTAAAAACTTCTGTGCATCAGAGACACTATCAAGAAACAACAAAGTATATAAAATAGATAAACAAGTTCTTCTGTACAGCACAGGGAGCTATGTTCAATCTCACGCAGTAACCTATAATAAAAAAGAACATGAAAACAAGTATATTTATGTGTATGTATGGCTGAAACATGCTGTACACCAGAAATTGAGACACTGTGAACTAGCTGTACCTCAATAAAATTTTCTTTAATTAAAAGAAGAAGGTCCTATGGCATGTACAGAGGATTACTCTCAGTACCTCACAATGGCCTACCATGAAAAAGAACATGGAAGGGAATGCATACGTAAATGAATCACTATGCGGCACACCAGAAATGGACCCAACACTGTAAGTCGACTTACTTCAGTAGCAGTCAAAAAAGACACCGTCAAGAAAGTGAAGAGACGACCCACCGAGTGGAAGCAAGCACCTGAGACCACACACAGGCTCCCCGGCTTTTCCCAAGTCCCTCTGTGCCACTTTGCTTTTACGGAAGACCCGCGTTAGTACCTGTTTCCACTGATGGAAAGACATCCAGATGGGGTTTTCACTTCTAAGGAAACAGGGGAAATGCTGTGCAGGGAGCTGGGCGAGAGGCAGCGGCGCCCCAGCAGAGAGGGACACCACCATGCTGCTGCCGGGGACCACGTGCAGCAGCGCAGCCTCCAGCCACTGCAGCTGTGAAGCACGCCTGTGCTCTGCCTCGGCTCTGCATCCATTAGCAAGACGTGTCCTCAGGTTTCACAGGAACCCCTTACTTTTGGATGGCAGGGAAAACCTGTATTTGATCAGGACCTAGTATCCAAAATATATAAAGAGCTCCTACAACTAAACAACAGAAAGACAAATAAACCAATTAAGAAAATGGTCGAAGAATGTAGACGCTTCTTCAAGTGTTGGAGAGGATGTGGACCAATCAGGACCCTCACACTGTCACTGAGGATAGAACGGAAAACGTAGCCACTGTGGAAAACAGTTCGGTGGTCGCTAAACAAACACGGAATTGCCACATGACTCAGCAATTCCACTCCCAGGTACGTGCCCAAGAGAAATGACAGCAAGGACTAAAACACGCCTGTACACGAACGGTCGTCGTTCCCAGCAGCCAGAAGGTGGAAACAGCCCAACTGCCCATCACCTGACGAAGGAACAAACGTGACGGAAACGTCCTCAGCCAGGGACTGGCGTACTGACACGTCAAGCCCGCCCGTGACGACCAAGTTACTCACAGAAAGAAGAATGAGACCCAAACGGTTTTTAGTTACTTTGGAGACACGGGGCTTGAGGAAGAAAGCACTTTAAACAGGCAACTGATTGTAAATTTCTCAACTTATCCACAGGTTGCCGTGTGTTACCTGTGATTTAAAAACAAAAACTTCTCAATGGTTAGCCTTCCCTAGAAAACGTTCCAAATCCTTCCTTCCACGATACTTGGGTGGGCAGGGTGAGAACCGCGATCACATGCGGCCCCACAGTCTCCACCCCGTGTAAGCTCAGGTAGGCATCAGAGGTCAACATAATTAAGCCCCCTGTTCCGAACCCTCTCTCCAAGAAAGTCAGCTTGGGCCAGCAGCTTCTGATTCCACCACGTGAGGTCCTGTGGGTCCCTGGATCAGGACAGCGCGGCAGCGTGACAGCCCACACGCCTGGACGTCAGGCACTCCCAATGTGGGCCCACAGTGCACGCGTCTGAACACCAACCCCAAAGACCCCAAACTCCCGGCGACTTACAGCCAGCTGGACTCCTGCCCTTCACACGGCTCCCTGGGACCAAGCGGAACGCGGGTCTCTGGGCTCTGGGTTAAAAGCCAAGCTCCCTCAGTCTCATCTGCGTCAGAGCGCCAGGCTTTCAGAGCCAAGAGCACGGGAGAGCGGCAGCCCCTGCTTCCACTGCCACAGGCTCAAGCACACCCAGCCGCCCCCCGGGGAGGGCACTGCCAGCGGGAAGGGCAGCTGTGACAGCCCCCAGGACATTTCAGAAGTTCGGGTCTGTCGCCACCCCTCAGGCTGCTTCCAGGCCACCCAGAGGTCCACAGAAGGTGGGAGCAGTGGCCCCTCGAGGTGTGCAGACGCATCTCTTCAGATGGTTCCTCCAACCGGAGTCCCAGGGCCCGGTCCCACCCCCACTTTCCGGTCTCCGAAGGATCATGCACTTTCCTACAGTCTGGAAATGCAAACACTTCTTCACACAAAAATTAAAACTTAATACTCAGAACCCAAATGCTCTTCATAAAAGGAGAGCAGAGAGAGGGCACTGCTTACCGCTGTTCACCTGCCCGTGGACGGCGGCGGGGACTGGCACCACATGAGTCCCATTCTGCGTGACAGTTTTTACTGGAAGCTGGTGCTGACCTAGAGGTGCCTGCTGCACTATAGTGACCGTCTGCACAGGGGCGGCCGGGGACGTCTGGATGAGCCGGCCGGCGGCACCGAGGGTGGCGTGGCTAACTGCAGGAATAGGTTCCACTTTCACTGAATTAAAACAAAAGGGAAAGAGAAGAAATGACACCAACTGGCGTCACAGGGAAGCGCACAGGGGCCCGCGGAGCTGCGCCAGCACGAGGTCAGGGCCGTGGCTGGGAGGGCGAGCGGGCGGCCGGGGCAGCCGGCTTCTCAGCAGTCGC